GTCTTTGTTAGCTGTGTAAAGGTAAACTATGCTCATGTCCCGCTTATTGACTGTAATATGTGCATAATTAGTGTGGAGTCTGTTCCATGGCAAAGCGGAGACACAAGCAGTGTAAACTGGGGGTTATCGTCCATTTATCGTTGTCAAGCTGAACTGCTCAACATGTCATTATACTGATTTTATAATTCATAATTATAAAATCATGTAATTAAGACCAAGACACCAAGACAGAGAAAGATGTGGAGGCACTTGAAGCAAGGTTAGCTTCTGCAACAACATCTCACAGAGCCATAAGAATCCAGTTTGCTGTTTGACCCAAGCCATGTAGATTAGACAGGTCACAATTGTAAAAATAATCTCTAATGTCAATGGAACTAACCTGGTTAAATAAAATAAAATAAAATAAAATAAAATAACCGTCTCCCACTAAAGTTGTGGGAGACTGTCCTCTGCTCAGATGAGACTAAATTTAAACTTTCTGTCCAACATCTAAACCTTCTCTGTTTGATGAAACCCAGACACACTGCCGTGGCAGCTCTCACCCTGTGGGTCGGCCTTCTTGTAGGCGTTGCCGGCATCAACGAAGCTCGTGGCGGAGTCCAGTTTGTTCTGAAGCTGCATGTGGAGCCGGGCAGCCTGGCAGAATGCGTTCCCTGCAGCTGAACGCACAGCGTAAATAGTTGGAACATTCACAACTAAACTTATAAGCTAATATAAATCTCTTATTTTCAGACTTGGTGTTCAAAAAGCAGTTTACTGAGTATGAGCTATTATTTGTTGCTTTATTTGGAGCGGACACTGTCCTCTACATTAGCTGTTAAAGCAGATTGTTAGCTGTTCACCTACCACTCCAGTTCTTTGCCATCTTAAACATGTTGGCCGCTCTCGCGTAGATTTCACAGGCATCCTCCACCTTATGGTTCCCCCTGTAACAGACCACAAAAAATGCAATTACCTCATTTTATGCTAATATCACACTGTAAATGCGGTTTTAAAGGGAGAAAACAATTCACATGCTTGTGCTGATTCATGTTAGTGTCACAGTTCTCCAGTGAGGGGAAATAACCAAAAACAGCTGAGCCTGCAGGTCTCACTGCAGAGGACAGCTAAGGATGAGCAGACCCTCTAGCAAAAACACACAAGCCACTAGACCAGTGGTTTCCAAACATTTTCTGGCCCCCCCCCTATGGATTACAAATAGCTCTCTGGTTGAACGATGTGTGTGAGAGGGAGGGGGAAGAGGATTCTTTGAGACTCCCTGTCTCTAAGAACGGTGGAGGAGGAGAAGGGGGAATCGACTTTTTTGGGGGCAAAATGAATGTACGTAGCTGGACATAGACAACAATATCGGTAGCTGTATTGATATTAGCTAGTCATCCTTTAGCTAACTTTACCTGCATCCAGCAGCTTTACTC